AGTTAATGGAGCTGAGACTTTTTGTGACGTCAAAAGTATGTCAGCCACAAAGAAACACGTGACATTTCATCGAAGCCGAAATTCTATTACGAGCTTGTTCACAAGAACTCGTTATTGGTCTGTATCCAGAGCCACATGAACTCAGTCCGCATCAGCATCCTATTTCTCCAAGATTCAAGTTAGTGATTCTCTCTACTTCTAGGTCTTCCTGGTGGTTTCCTTCCTTCAAGTTCCCCCCCCCCCACGCAAACGCCGTATTCACATGCTTGCTGCATATCCTCCCTCTCTCATCCTCCTTGACTTGGCCATTCCAATAACGCCGTAGCAGGTCCTCAAAACATGTACGTATTTAGGCCCATATGAAATAATAGCCGCTCACATTAACAGGATTCACGGGATTCATCTTATTCGTCCAGCTGAACGTCCTCAATCCCTCAATTAATGTTGGTACTTAGAATATTTGCTAAGCGGCCTCCGTAACGTTCCCACCTCATGACTCAAGGTACGCGGGTTCAAACCCGGCGTAGGTCGTGGAATTTTTAAGGGCGGAAAAATTCAGGGAACAAGTTCTCCGGGAGCCGTGGGTCCCGTGTCGTAGATTTATGGCACGTAAAAGATCCTCATGTCTCTAGGAGACCTCTGAGCAAAATTAGGCAACAATTTCCCGCCCAAGTAGTTTCCAGTGCCTCTGGTAGATGGGGGAAATATCAGGTACCGACGGCCGAGCACGTTGGCTGAACGGGGCTGATAGTACGCACCAGTACCGGTAGGGTATGGGGACAGTAGAAATTAAAGGGGGACGCACAATGGACAAATAACTGGTCTAAGTGCATAGGGAAACCCACCTCCTTTAATAATAATAATAATAATAATAATAATAATAACAATAATAGAATATTTGTTGGAATTTACGCTCTGAACTTCAAAACATGGGCCATCGTTCTGCTTTAAGTTCTGAATGTCTTTACCCATGTTTTTCTTTTAAGGCACAGTGCTGACTTTATGTGCCAACTCATTCAGTATTCAGCAACTTCTGTCACAGTGCATTTCTCAGGATTATCTGTTTGTACTTCAGAAAGTATTCACCTGATTATTTTGTAACAGAGACGTAGCGAAATTTTATTGAATATCTTAAGTACCACTTATATGATCTATGTTCTTCAAAACAATTGTTCTGTAGACTGAATAATGCCTCAGAGGAATGTGAAAGCTACAAAAACATAAGTGTTTCATGCCTCTTAACCTTTCCTTCTCATAACGTGTCTTTCTCATGACAATGATTATCAGATGCTAACATGTCTCAATGATTCGTCTATTCGTGATACATTGCATGCTTGAAGCATTGTGTTTTGGTTCTATCTTCATAAAAATTATATTCTTTGTGTTGTGAACACCTTAACCAGGAAGACAACTGAATGTTATACACTGCAACATAATACAACAAAATATACTAACAGTGCAATATGATAAAATATAATAAAACGTGACATGGCATATCGTATTGCAATATAAAGTCAATACCATACAACATGAAAATCTATAATATAATACAACGCGATATAATAAAATTATAAAATATAATATAATTTAGTGTAATGTTACAAAATATAAATTTATGTAGCATAGTCACATTTTACACACATCATCACAATAAACCAAAAAAGTGACACATTTTCCAGTATAAGTACCATTATAGGTATTGGGTTTCTTTATAAAGTCCAATAAAACTACATGATATCACCTGAAAACTATGCAGCGGTTCTGTGTAATCAGAAGTCGTAATGCCGGCTACTTAATGGCTTGGGGTTGTGTAATTGGAACACGTTTCTTTTTTCCTCCTAAAGATGTGTCATAATTTTTACCTCCAATATCTATATTTTTCTTCTGTCTACTACCATAAGTTTCTTATAAGTAGGTTTCTTGTTCAGACAAAAAAACTTGCCTCGTTTTGCTCAGCAGAGTTACTCGTATTTAAATTTTGTTAGATTCTGTTGTGTGCTGTCTTGACGACGTCAAATGTTTTAGTACAGCCATATTTCTACTACTGAGACTGCGCAGTACTCGCGCCGCTATTCAGTCTGCGTGCAAAAGCAGACCAACGACAAACTGTATTGGGTTTATTAGTTTATTTGACGCAATTTCACTGCTAGCTACATATCGCTGAGGGGAAGCAGAAAATGGATTGAAAATCATGCGGAATCATTCTCTCTTGTAGGATACTGCCCTAAAACTTCTCCGCAAAACTGAGAAAAACTGCGAAAAACCCTCGGTCAGGGGAGCCGGAAATCCCACCAAGACTAGAATCCACAGCTTCGTACCTACAAACTATAATCAGTACAGCATGATGGCGTATGGGGGAGTGGATGTATAGATCCACATGTTTTTTACCTCGGGACTAGCTGGAGGTGAGTAGTCAGCTTCATCCCCGGGGAAAGAGCCTCAGGTACCCATTGGATATGGGGGTGGGTGGACCCAGAGCCGGTCTAGACGATTTGGAGAAGAGAAAATTCTTGACCCTAACAGGACTCGAAATCCAACCCCTCAGCCGTCCTACGGACTGCGCTATCCCGGCGCTTGTGTAACAAACCAGAAAACATCTGTAACAACAAAATAAAGAAACAAAGAACTGAACACCGAATAAAACAGACAAAACACTAAAGCACGTACAGAACACAATAGGAACAGAAATAAAAAATAAAAAATAAATATGACACGGAATTTCTATAATAGTTGAGCACCTCTAGATAGTTCAGGGGGCGGTCACAGTAGCCGCGCCGTCTAAGGTTGGGATCGTGGGTTCGAGTCCAACTCAGGGCATGGATGTTTGGTGTGTGTATGCATTTATTCTCTTTCTGTGTTCTGTGTTTGGTTAGAGGTCTTGCGACGAGCTGATCACTCGTCCGAGGAGTCCTCTCGTCTGCGTAAAAGTTGTTGCGGAACCCAACAAGAGGATGGGCTGGAAGAGCGAGCTGGAAGAGCGAGTGTCTTGTTGTCTTGTTGTCTTGTTGTCTTGTTTCAAGTGTTGATATATGGACCCGGACTGGCTGTGCTCATCAGATTTGCTTACCGTTTAGAAGCGATGCCTTGTAATATAGCAATTATACGGTGTATTTATTCAAATATAAATTAAGTGCCTGACCGAGAGGGCTATTCAGATAGAATAACGAATAAAATATAAGGTTACTTTAAAAATTTAAAAGCTGTAATTGTAGAATTGCCGGTCACGGTAGCCGAGCAGTCTAAGGCATGTACTGTCTTCGCTCGCTTGAAAACCGGGATCGTGGGTTCGAATCCCACTCAGGACATGGATGTTTAGTTTGTGTGTGCGCGTTTTTCTGTGTTTGTGTACAGGTAGAGGCCTTGCGACGAGCTGATCACCCGCCAAAGGAGTCCTACCGAATGTGTAAGATCTAGAAAAACCGGAAGTGAACGGAGAGGTTCATGGAGGTAGGCCTAGGACCACTGGGGCTGTAGTGCCAAGGGAAAAAAATGTAGAATTGGCGTCAGAGCATGATGAACACTGTAGACTGCTGCAGTCACTTAAAGGGACGGCTGAAGAGATCCGACCATTGAGTAACTGGCCGATGTGCCGGGTAGTTTATGGAGAACACGCGAACTCTATGGGGAAATCCCTTCTTGAGAATCTGAAAGTCAAGAAATCCTCTGCATTTTATAGGAAAACTAAGTTCATTATCGAGTTCCTTGAACCGTATCCGGAGAAAATTTTATTTAGTCCACACCCTATATATTTGAGATCTAATTTACTATTATTTTCCTACCAATATCCGAGAAATACTATCTTTCTTTCGTGTTTTAGACTAAAATTTTCTATAAATATCTCTTCTACAATCATACGTGCTACATGTCCAGGCCATCACATTATATGCAGGTAGTTTATAAGCAGTATAAACTGCCTTGGCATGATTTTCAAATTTTACCACTGTACGCCATGCATCACTTTTGCATTAAGAGCTCTATACGGTTAAGGTAAAGCGCCGACGTGCCCGTGTTTTTTTTATCCGGCCTTAATAGATGCATTATTCTGCTATGTTGTTTGTGTTGTTCTCTTTTACTTTTACTGGAGCATTTGATAGCTATCTTATGAGCCCATATCCCTGGCTTTTACATCTAAATAAACTCACATGTATCGTTGGTTGCACCAACCATGCTCTTATACTAACGTGCCGTTTAAGAATCAGATAGGGGAAACAGCAGTGACTATTGGGTCTGTTCGGAACCAACCAATCAGGCATAAGTGATCTTGTGAGCGATACAGGCAATGCGTTCTTGCTTGCCACACGTGAATTAGTTTTCATTTATTGTATACACAATTGTGGTCCACAAATACTGAGCCCCAGAACAGGTGTAACTGTGATACCATCCACGAAATACAAATCACTGTAGGATAGGAGAAGCAAGAGTACATCATGACACACAGTATAGAATTTAATATCACTTTAAATAAATTTTCATTTATTTCTCATATTAAATTACACTAACAAGAAACAATCTAGTTTTTAAAATAATACATTTTTGGACGTACAGAGCTCACGTGCTATATACAATGTTAGCAATAGTTTCCGAAACTCATCATACTCGTACATATCTCTCAATGTGGTTGACACATGTCGCGAATTTACCTGAATGCTTAGATTAAGTCGTAATTCGAAGCTACACTTAAGACTGCATTACGTTGGTAGATGTGCAATAAATAAAGCAAAGACATCCACCCACACACAACACACACGGGGCCTCATACGGTAGCATACAGAACACAATGTAAATGATACAAATAAAAAAAAAAGGCAGACATATGAACAGTCTTAAAAAAATCATTTTTATTGCTCTCAACAATAAAATAAACAAATGAAGTACTTTTTGATTTCCAATATCCTGTATTCCATACTTAATATAATCACTATACAAAAGATTAACACACATAACTCCACACCCCGCCAGCAGATAGCAGCACTTCACACATCACCGCATCGCATGCAGGCATACCACCAAAAGCACCAGTCCCAAGCGGACGGCCCTTCGTGCAGACAATAGACTCTCCGCACAAGGTAAGAAATAACTAAAAAAAAAAAAGAAATCTAAAATTCCAACACACAAATTACTATACACCGCATGCTAACAGAAATTTGTATTCCAGAGCAGACTACGGGAAGAAAAGAGAGTAACACGAAAGCAATACATCACAGAACCGTAGGCGAACACATAACCTCATCATCAACATAAGTTAAGGCAAACTGACATATATCCCTAATCAAACATACACACTTATAAAATACGCAATAATAACACATTCATATTTCATACCATAGGAAGAATCTCACACTAAAGAAGAATACACGTTGCTGAATGCCACCGAAACATCTTGGCAACATAGAATAAAAAGAACACATCATAAAGCATAACTCAATTTTAATTCCAATTAGAATATTTTAATATATTTAATAACATAAGGGCATAACATAAACAACATACGTGTACACACACACTCGAAGAGTGTAAACATTGACCAGTGTAGCAGATAGAAAAGGTGATTGTAAAGCCTGTCTGTATCTGATGGTGGCCATAATAGGACGAAACATGTAGTGTGTCTATACAAGGACTTTGTTGAGTGAGTTCGACTCAGTAATATCTGATGAATGTTATAAATTAGGTGAAGCTAGTCATTATGCAGTTTTATGCAAACTGCTGTTTTCCCCCCTCATGTTCAAACTTTTTCCCCAGTACCCGTTGCTCGAACAATTGGAACTCATTTTCTTCAGTCATGGTGAGAGACGAAACTGTTGTAATGTTTACATTTTTAGGTGCGAGACGGTGAGACAGAATACTCCAAATTGATATGCCATTTGTGCTGCACCCTTGGGGCAGATGTGAATACTAAAGAATTGCTAATGTCTTCTCAATCTGTGACGAGAAATACGAGGAAAAGTAAGTAAATAAGTCACAATGCAAATAAAATACCTGTAATGGTTCTATTTGTATCTCTAGGTAGGAGCACAGTTCAGCTTCGTGGCAGTCCAGGTACCAGACGCCCATGCGCATGTTCAGATTCTGGTTTTAGTAATAAAATGGCGACGGCGTTTGAGGGTATACTACCGAAAAGCAGAGTTCTGTGTTCTGTTGTGCGCTTTCTGTGGGCAAAAGGGTTAATGCAAAGTTTATTGTCACGTATTTATAGGTTGGATTTAAAAGCGAATCCAATGTAATTTGGATTACAGTTTTAATTTTTTCTTTTACAATGAAGTTCTCAACATTGTCATGAAGCTCATTAAATAAAGGTGTTAAATTATAATTTAAAAATATATTGAAGTCTTATACCGTCCACTGTGAATAAAATCCTTCGACTGTCTTTTTAGAGGGTGCTCGGTAAAAACGGAGTGATCACAGGCCAGGGATAGGGTTGGTCTCTGAATAGTGGGTTGCATTGCACTAAATCCTTGCCGCACAAGTATGGTTTTTAAAGGGTTGGTCTTTTAAGATGTTTCACTCTGCTGTCTTGAACTGAATTATGCACTGAGGATGTGAAATGCCCAAGATGGAAGTTCATATGCAATTTTAGGTTGCATTTTGCCGATTCGAATCATAATAAATATATGAATGCTTGATCCAGTTGTTCGGTATAGTTCTCGTACAAAGGTAAGGAACCGTATCCAGAGAAACTTACCGCGTATCACAAAGTTTCATTAACAAGGATTTAATTCTGTGGCACATGTCAGAAGATGTAGCCCTTGAAAACATGAACAGTAGTACGCCTCAAAATTGATTATATCTTCATAAGATTCTGTTTAGAATAATTCCTTTCACATAGCAAGGACGTAACAAGCAAACCTTTGTCACAGACGAAAGGGACTGTCCCAGCGAGAGCTGAAATATTTTCTCGTAGCAGGCAATTAAACTCCGTGGGCTGTAGTCTGCAAGCGAACTATACCGACCGAGTGACCGCCGCTTGTCGGCGAAGTTAGTGCCAACTTTTGCGGTTAGATGGTGTCGCGTGGTCAGCGCAACGGATCCCCACTCCCGTTAATCTCGGTTTCCTAGACCGGAGCCCCTATTTCCTTGAACGAGCTCTTCAGTTATCCTCGCGAGGTTGAGTGGACCCCGTTCCAGACCCACTACTTCTCAGAAAATCTGGCACCGCCGGGAATCGATCCAGGGACCTCTGAGTCTGTAGCTAGGAACTCTGACCACTAGACCACAGAGGCATCCAGCAGGCAATTAAGCAAGTGAAGATTAACCGTGTCATTTATTGAGTATATATTTCGAAAAATGTGTCACATAATCGTCAGATATTTCTTACTTTCCTACGAAATAACTTTGCTTTATAATGTGATTGATCCAGCGCTGCGCGGAATTGCTAATTCCATTACAAGAGAATATTTAGGGTGAACATTTCTTGAACCTCTTTTTCCCATGACTGGTTCTTGTTTTGGATACAGTTTCATGCTGCTTATTTTTTACTTGTCCTGGATAGGTCGATGAATCTGAGCCCTACACTGAACATATGCTACATTCAATAACCGCCCAGAAAATGCAATGTCAAAACTTGCCTGCAATCCTTTGTATGTTTTTACCATTTAGAAAAATTTCCTCCATCTTTTACTTTTATCGCTTTACTAAATTATCATTCGTCGGTAAATTTTATTGTAGTCCACATATCCTCTGATAAAGGAACCTGGTCATAATTTGCTGTACTCGGTCAGCGGATCAACCACGTCAAACAGGTCACATGATTGAGTGAATATAGATTGGTAATCAGATGTATTGCACTTATATAACTCGCTGTTACACTTCACAAATCACTATAGGACACACTAGGGCATGTCAAACTTAGTCCTTACAGGCTGGCGACTGTTCCTCAACTAATGCTCCAAATGTCGATTCTCAACCGACTGACTCCCGCTAACTGACCTGCTTATAAGAACTCTGTAAAGACAGCGCAGAAAACACCGTTCCTCTGTTGCTGTTTCCAATCGTTGCCGTGCAAACATGTTTCTTTGTGAAGGCGTTACTGAGTAACGGCTGCTCTGTGGCTGCTTATTTCACGGCCGTTGCTTAGCAACGAGTCTGCATACCACAGTATTATCTTTTCTCAGAAGACTACGAAAAACGACTTGGATACACAGAAGCGGTTTAAGATTCTATACGCCATCTGTTACAGAGCTACCAATAACACTTTTGTGTTTGACTTTACCTGGTAGAATTCGGAATTCGGGTAAAACTGGGAAAGCTGGAAGTCAGTTCTTTGATCTGTCTCTATGCTTGTAGAACTTCGTTACTTTCAGATAGTCAGCGAGTCCTAAGCTCTGATATTCGCTAGTACAGTTGTTAAAAGCGGACCGACAACATTTAAGTTCTGTGAGTGGTGGTACTGACCGCCTCTGTGCTCTAGTGATCACAGTTCCTGCCTACAGATCTAGAGGTCCCGGGTTCGATTCCCGGCGCTACCACATTTTCAGAGAAGTAGTGGGTCTGGAACGGGATCCACTCAGCCTTGTGAGGATAATTGAGGAGCTATTTCAAGGAAATAGGGGCTCAAGTCTAGAAACCCGATATTAACGGACGTGGGGATCCGTCGCGCTGACCACGTGACACCCTCTATCTGCTAAAGTTGGCACTATCTTCGCCGACAAGCAGCGGTCGCTCGGTCGGTATTGTTCGCTTGCGGATTACAGGCCACGGTGTTTGTTTATTTTGTTTGAGTGGTGGTACCGAGTCACCAGTGGTTATATTTTCATGTTCTGTGATGCGGTAAAATTATTTGGAAATCATTATACTTAAAAATCAACATCTTGCCTAAGTTTCGTTGGTTCATGATTCATTAGACGAGAAATTCTGAACTGCTGAGGCCTACATAGCTTCGAAATGGTTAGGTAATCTACGAATGATTTTTGGCCTACTCTAGGGTGCTGTCCCCGTATTTTTCTGGAGGAACTCGGGAATGTCTTGTGAAAATAGCCGACCTCACGATCCAGATTTTAATCCGAGTTCTTCCGAGTACTTATCATGGTGCTAACAAGAATAGAGGATGTTCAGTATTGTATGAATACAGCGGCAGTGACATATTGTACCTTCTTTTTAAAATAGGACATTCAGAATATTCCGGTGTATATGGTCACGTGTTTGTGACTAGACACGGAGTTTGTTTTGCTAATCGTATTTATTGAATGCTTACAAATCTTAACCACAAATGATTATAACTCTTTCAATGATCTGTACAATCAGATATCACTACAGCAAACACTAAGACTTCTCAGTTTGTTATGTCTTCATTAGTCGTTGCTAGGTAGTGGCTTCTAACAATAGAGATACCTCTATTTCCGTGCTCACGGCCAACCAACTGCGATTGCTCACTCAGAAATAACTCTTTATCGCCGTTTATTCTCGTTATATAGCCGTCACGTCACAATATAAAGTAGTAATTTTGATGTCAGTTTTGGTTTTGGATTGAAACATTGTGTGGTCATGAATGTTATTGCCAACTTCAGGAGTTAACATGCTGCCTCCGTTTAGACCTGGAGGAAGTTTAGGTAGACCTCCGAAAAATCAGCAGCATCGCGGACAGTCGCACGGTGTAATAACCTAAGAATAAAATTAACATTAGTGATTAACCATCATGAAAATAAAAAATCACTGACAGTTCTCCTTAAATGTGTACAGCGAATTCTGCACTCGGATTCTTTGCATTTTTGTTTTGTATTCGTGAATTCGCAATTTCGATTTTCTGCCAGGAGACTAACGAGACTGACTAAAATTTGTGAGTTTTCTCAGTCCCTCCAGTGAAATGTTAGGATAGTACTTCCTTCTAAACACAAGTTTCGTCGTTTACAACCGTCATGAGGGAAATTATTAAAGGTCTCAACCATCTCTGAGCCGAGATCTGAACAAGGGACCTTCCGAACGCATGATCGGATAGTATAATTATGGCACCTACAGCCTATTTCGACGGGCTACGGGCTAGAATACCGGGGTTCGATTCCTGGTAGGGCAAGAGAGTTTTCTCTAGTCCACAACGNGATTGAGTGAATATAGATTGGTAATCAGATGTATTGCACTTATATAACTCGCTGTTACACTTCACAAATCACTATAGGACACACTAGGGCATGTCAAACTTAGTCCTTACAGGCTGGCGACTGTTCCTCAACTAATGCTCCAAATGTCGATTCTCAACCGACTGACTCCCGCTAACTGACCTGCTTATAAGAACTCTGTAAAGACAGCGCAGAAAACACCGTTCCTCTGTTGCTGTTTCCAATCGTTGCCGTGCAAACATGTTTCTTTGTGAAGGCGTTACTGAGTAACGGCTGCTCTGTGGCTGCTTATTTCACGGCCGTTGCTTAGCAACGAGTCTGCATACCACAGTATTATCTTTTCTCAGAAGACTACGAAAAACGACTTGGATACACAGAAGCGGTTTAAGATTCTATACGCCATCTGTTACAGAGCTACCAATAACACTTTTGTGTTTGACTTTACCTGGTAGAATTCGGAATTCGGGTAAAACTGGGAAAGCTGGAAGTCAGTTCTTTGATCTGTCTCTATGCTTGTAGAACTTCGTTACTTTCAGATAGTCAGCGAGTCCTAAGCTCTGATATTCGCTAGTACAGTTGTTAAAAGCGGACCGACAACATTTAAGTTCTGTGAGTGGTGGTACTGACCGCCTCTGTGCTCTAGTGATCACAGTTCCTGCCTACAGATCTAGAGGTCCCGGGTTCGATTCCCGGCGCTACCACATTTTCAGAGAAGTAGTGGGTCTGGAACGGGATCCACTCAGCCTTGTGAGGATAATTGAGGAGCTATTTCAAGGAAATAGGGGCTCAAGTCTAGAAACCCGATATTAACGGACGTGGGGATCCGTCGCGCTGACCACGTGACACCCTCTATCTGCTAAAGTTGGCACTATCTTCGCCGACAAGCAGCGGTCGCTC